TCTCGCGACCGAAGCTCTGCTGCACCGAGTTCGGACGCACCATTGTCTGGCCCGGTTCTTGCGGCAGTGGCGATGTCTGCTTCGCGAGTAGCATAGGCAGAAAATGGACCTTGGAGACCGCCTTCCATCGCGTCGGGCGCCTCGTTGCTCTCCGTTGTAACAAGAGCGGATTCTGGTTCGGGCACGTCCCTGCTCGGTGCTAAGACAGGCGAACGAGCAGGACTGTCACCACGTGTGGGCGTAGCAAGGCCGCTGCGCGGTATGGAAGAGTTGGAGAAGTTGCGATTGTGACCTGGCGAGGGTTTCCGTGGAACGTGGTGCATTGGCTCGATAACATTGGCGGATGTTGGCTGGGTGATGGGCGTTGTAGTTTCACTAGGTTCTTCTGCAATAGCGGGTGTACTACCTTCGGCCTGGTTACGGTTCCTCAGTGCAGACGCTGCAGAGCTGGGTACGCGGCTCATAATTGGACTGATCCCCGACGTACTCCCAGTATTGCTTCTCAACAGGTCCGAACTCGAATCGTTGTCGTTTGATATGGGTGTTGGCGGAACCGAGCGGTTTTCATCAGCGCGAGTGAAGGCTTGGTCGACGACGGACCGTAGGCCCTGGTCATCCTGGGGTGACACAAGAGACTGGTCTTGGTGGAATGGCGGTTTGTTCTGGTGTGGGGCTGCTGCATCGTAGCCAGGCAGATAGTACTCGCTCTTGCGCTCGGCAACAGTTTCCATGGGCCGCAGCGATCTTCCACCTTCTGTAGGAGAGGTGATGTTGTCTCGTGTTGGGGAAGATAGGGAGTCCAGACTTGGTCGCGACGATTCTAGTGAGGCACGTTGGCGCTCCTCCTCATGCCGCTTGTAGATGTCCGCTGGCCTGATGAAGGGCAGCGGCTTGTCGGATTGACTGCCCTGACGGGATCGCGGGGAAGTCGGCGCTGGCATGTCTCCCTGACCTATGCTGCTCTTGCGAGGAGGGAACTGGGTGTTGATGGGTGGAGTGAAATCAGCAGGGACTTGTGATATGCGTGTCTGAAGGGGCGGGGGCATGGCAGAAGGGCTGAAGTCGCCCCTCTCTCCTGTGTCGTAGCCCTGACCATAGCCACCAACATTTGTCTGTATCCGTGGCTCTTGATGCTGTTGGCCGTAATTGTGCTGGGGGTGTGGTATCGTCGAGGAGAAGGCACGTTGTTCTTCTCCGTGCTCGAATGAATTCCTCCGGCCTTTTGGGAGAGGCGCCTGCTGCGAAGGGTCGGTGAAGCTGCGCGACGGCTGCTCTAGACGCTGGGCATAGTATCGCTGCGCCGGCGCTTGTGACTGTTGCGGCTCCTGGTTAACGCCGTATTCGTCGTACTCGTCATAGTCGCCCCAGTCATCGCCATCATAGGCGTTCTTCTTCGCCTGCACCCATTTCTTTGTTTTGGCACGGTTGACGTTGGTCTTGAATGACACGGGCTGGCCTGCGGAGAAGGGCGACGCGCTCCGGTCGCTAGCACGAGTCAGTCTATGAATGCATACTGCATGTGTACAGTTGCCACCTACAGTGGTGACCTGGCTTCTTCCGCCTGGAAGCGGAAGGGGCCGGACATGCTGGAGTGGTATCAAAGTCGGGGTATAGGATATGCACACCACTCTAGCTCTACTAGGGCGGAGCCCAAAGCCAGCTATATCCTACAGCGCATGCAATCCAGGGAGGTGAAAGGGTGTCTACTGAGACAGACACTGCGACAAAGGTGCTGGCTGGGTGGTGCGCGATTGCAGCACTGAGGGGGTGGTTGACAGCCGGAGCGATGGTGATAGACAGCGTGGCTGGAGCAAGGCGGGAGGGACTGGCTGCGGGTTCGACCAAGCTTCCGGGATAACGTCACCTGCTGCGCGTGCTGAAGGCCCGACCTGAAGTGAGACCAAGAATCGCCCACCCACGGTAGAGTTGAAATGAGCAGAGGGAGGAAGAGTGACCGCAGTGAAGCTGCAGTCCATCAATTTCGTCACAGCACCAATTCTCCGCGCGGCTTGACGGCTCTACGGCTCAAAGGCCAGTGCCACTATCGGATTGCAGCCCCGTCAGGTGTGGCGCAGACGACAGCCCTAAATTGGGACGTGACATGGGCCACGTTCCCCAATTCACCCCAGCCCGCGCTTCAACCCTCAACATATTCCACCTTTTGCTTCTCGACC